AGAGGAGACCCTTTTGACTCAAGGGTAATTTTTGAAAAGGGCCTATGTGTTTTTGCACAAATACTTAAAAAAAAAGGGAGTTCGAAAAAAGTTGGTCGTAGAAAAAAATTTACTAAGAAGGAGTTGTAGGAAACTAATAAGGCTTTATAAAAAAAATATACACGGATTTTTTTTTCGTTTTTTTTACAAAAAAAAATTAAAAATAAACCTCAAAATTCAAATAACAAAAAAAAAACGTATTTTTGTTTTTTTTTATATTTTTTTAATAAAAACTTGAATAGAAAGCAGAAGTTTTGAAAACAACTCCAGGATGGACAAACTTTTAATAAAAAAGTTTTTCTAAGAGCCACTTTTAAGGCATTTTTGAAACTTTCATTATTTACGGCAAAATGTTCAGTTTGATGTCAGTATATGAATATAAAAATCATTTCAAACGATAGTGCTCTTATAAATAAACTTCCTAAATATAACCGTTTTCGAGATATTTCAAATTTACTTTCATAAAAATCATTTTTCTTGTAGAAAATATGCCATTTTCATAAGTTAATCGTGATTCTCCATCAGCCTTGATAAGTTTAGCAAGATACACATATATTTACCTTCAATTTGTCTTTTGACGATTGAACAATCAGACAACCCGTTTAGAATTTACAGGGGAAATGAAAACACTATTATTTTAAATATAGAAACCACTTTGCACTTATTTTCATTATCAGGCGTAGTTTCATCCTATATAAGTTGTTAATATTGATGCACCTATCCATCTCATTATTTTAGGGACATTATAATGTCTTCCATGGTATTTTTCATGAAAAAAAAGAGCTTCTCTGTTAGAGTAGCTTCAATACCAAAACAATATTTATACCTTAATATCCAAATGGTACCTACGTTTGTATTTAAGCATGACCATCCTTTTGAAAACAGACATCACTAAAAATATCTTTTTGAGTGAACAAGTATAATTTGAATATGGAATTCAAGAAGGTCAAGTGTTGCAAGCCGTTTCCTTATAAACGGTGTTCGTCAATGCTTCGTAAATTATCCGAAAATTTGATTGAAAAACATAAGTTCCTAGAGTGGAAATTTAATTTGGATACATCTCTATCAATCTGTGATACGTGTCGCTTGAATTTGAATAGAATCGAACCATGTGCTGAAAATCTGGAACTAGAAGTGCAACCGTCAGTCATGGACATCGCGGAGCCGCAGCCATCTACATCTCGACATAGCCTCGAAGAAATGCCATCAACTACGTCAATAACAACAGCATCATCTCAAGATAGTGGAGAGCAACAATTTTCCAGGATGCATAATATTGAGCTGGCATAGCTGGTATCAACGTATCGCCAATATCGACAAAAAAAATTCCAGAATGTTAACTATCCCCGGAGAAAGTATATGGACATTACCAATGGCATTAAGAAACGCATCTTTGGTTTTCAAGCGGAAGAAGATGACCTGGAGCAACTTAAATTGAAAACTGCGGAACACAATGAGATGATCGGAAAACTGAAGGAGAGATTTGCTGATCCAGGTTCATCGAGCGACGATCAAATAAGGATTCTGACGATTTTGCCGGAATCTTGGTCATCGCAAACGGTAATGGACGAATTTGAAACAAATAAATACATTGTATTGCAAGCTCGATGCTTGGCAAACGGGAAAGGAGTATTGGCCACCCCCAACGAAAGGTTAGGACACGGTTTGGATCCCGAAATTAAAAACGAGGTATTGCAGTTCTTCGAAAGCGACCAGATAAGCAGAGCCACGCCAGGACTAAACGATTTCGTTTCAGTGAAGAAGGAAGGTAAGAAGATTCATATTCAAAAGCGACTTTTAGTTTGTACATTGCGAGAAGCTTTTATTAAATTTCAAGAAGTTAGTAAAAATAGCATTGGATTTAGTTCATTTGCAGCACTTAAACCAAAGCATTGCAAATTACTTGGTAGTTCAGGTTCTCACAATATGTGTGTTTGTACCATCCATGAAAATATTAATTTAATGCTTCATTGTCTTAGAAAATATTCATTCGAAAAAGATTTCAACCATTATTTTGAAGAAATATTATGCAGCTCATCATTGTTACCTCCGCGAATGCGAACGTTGCCCAGGTCTCTCAGATTTTGAAAGAAGTTTTTCAGAAAAATTCGAGGAACAGGGTATGTCTGAAATTTGTTTTAAACAATGGGTTTCAACTGATCGATGTAGTTTAGAGAAACTTGTAAAACCAGTAGATGGATTTGTTCCTTATTTTTGCGAAAAGTTGGAAAAACTGGTATCCCATGATTATATTAAAACTCAGCAGTCTAGTTTCTTGAGAAATACAAAAAATACTCTTAAAAATGGAGAAGTTGTCATAATTTGTGATTTTTCCGAAAATTATTCATTTGTTCTTCAAGATGCTGCCCAAAGTAGTTACTGGAATAATCAACAAGCTGCTATTCTTCCTTTTTACATTTATTATTCAGAATCAGGTAGAATTAAAAATTCATAACATATAAAAACATACCAATCAAAAGTTCATCAAATAAAAATATATTCAACGAAAAGGTTTATGTACAAATTATTATTATTAAAGACGATCGAAAGTAATAAATGTAAGATGCAAATAAAAACGCATGGGTATTTCATTTATTTATCTTATTTATCTTATAAGTTTAAAACCAATCTTCCAATAGTCTATTGGTGCAAGGGTAAGTTGAAGGTAAGTACATGCATATCTTGCAAAACTTATCATATTTGATGGACAATCACGTATAACTTACGAAAAGGGCATATTTTCTACAAAATAATTGATTATGATGAAAGTAAATTTGAAATATCTTGAAAACGGTTACATTTAGGAAGTTTATCGATATGAGCACTATCGTTTGAAATGATTTTTATATTCATATACTGACATCAAACTGAACATTTTGCCGTAAATAATGAAAGTTTCAAAAATGCCTTAAAAGTTGCTCTTAGAAAAACTTTTTTATTAAAAGTTTGTCCATCCTGGAGTTGTTTTCAAAACTGCTGCTTTCTATTCAAGTTTTTATTAAAAAAATATAAAAAAAATCAAAAATACGTTTTGTTTTGTTCTTTGAATTTTGAGGTTTATTTTTAATTTTTTTTGTAAAAAAACGAAAAAAAAATTCCGTGTATATTTTTTTTATAAAGCTTTATTAGTTTCCTACAACTCCTTCTTAGTAATTTTTTTTTTACAACCAACTGTTTTCGAACTACATTTTTTTTAAAGTATGTGTGCAAAAACACATAGGCCCTTTTCAAAAATTACCCTTGAGTCAAAAGGGTCTCCTCTCCTGCGGAAAATACTTGGTCTATCATACTGAAAATATGTGCCAAGTATCATTCAGATCGAAGATAGTCAAGTTTGGTGACTGACCGATTTGGCGTGGAATTGGTCTATATGCATAGTCTGGCGGATAGAATTGCGATCTATCAAAAAGCGGAACCAATTGACCACTTTGTCAAGCGGTGTGACTTTCTACCAGCGATTTCACAAAACTGGACCAACTAATTTTTATTTTTTTATGAAACGCACAAATGTTGGCTACTCTTCTCGGGGTTCTAGAAGAAAAAATATTAAAAAAATGTTTTATTTCAAAGTTTGAGTGGTAGTAAACGTCAATTTAACTGCTCGAATAAAGTGGTTAATTAACCACAATTTTTAGATTTTTTCTTCTAGAACCACCAGAAAAGTAGCCAACATTTGCGCGTTTCATAAAAAAATAGAAATTAGTTGGTCCAGTTTTGTGAAATCGCTGGTAGAAAGTCAGACCAAAACTGCTTGACAAAGTGGTCAATTCAATATATTTTAGACCAAAAATTGAAAAGGTTCTATCAACTTTTATAAACAAAACGTTGATTATTCTTTCCTCGCCAATCGAACGCAAATTACCGGCATCATCGGATTGGGGAAACTTTCCTCAACCCAACGATGGTGTTAGTTTGCGTAGGCGAGCCTTGAGTCACGAGAAAAGGGTTTCCGAAGTTTTGTTCGGAATAGCTGATGTGCTCTTTTCTGTTGTTGGTCGACAGACTATGAATATAGCGACTATAGTTATAACTGCTCAGTCTGGACCTCGGTCTGGACAGCGCTTAAGTAGCCGACAAGGTGTTTGAGTGAAAATTTGAGACTGCAAAGCTTGATGTTCAGCCTAAGTCTCGGCCTAAGTATACGGTCGAATATTCGGTTCATGACAAGTACCTACCAAGATCAATACAAACCGTTTACCTCGGTTTGATTGGTTCATCTTAAAAAAAAAGGCTTTCGGACGCCGGAAAGAATAAATCACCTCGCTTGTTTTTATTATTTTTTTTATCATATTCTCCGTTTATGTACTGACTTTTGTTAAATTGTTAAAATGCATTGTTAACCACTGGGTTTTCATAACTACTATTCGTTATTTCACAAGTGTGTCCATTCGGGTCCAAATGATTCTTTCGCTGCCCACCGTTTTTTATTCAAAAACAAACAAGCGCAAACTTCTTCTAAAACATAGTTAATACGCCATCAGTTTTTCTTCTTTTCGTTCAAACTTGCATACATGCATAAATAAATAGCTTAAAAGGGCAAACAAAACCTACTTTTTACTGTTCGAGTTTCACCTTTCGATCGATCCTCTGTCCTGCTTTCGAAATATGGGAAGTTTCTATGCGCTAAAATATAATATCAAACTGAAATGTGTGCTGCTGCCTTTTGTAACTAACTGATATTTCTTAATTCTTGCATATGTATAATTTTCTGTGTGTGTGTGTGTCTAATGGAGACAGATTAAGGCCAACTGCGGTTAGTGTGCTAGGTTTCTATTGTTTAATTTTTTTTTATTTAGCTTACAGATTCAGTCTTTGTTAATGTTGTGTGTTGTAAGCATGGGATCTTTCTTCTTTTGTTCGATTGTTTTTTTTCTTGTGCTAAATGTGAATTTATCGAATGGTAACTTAAAAGAAACAAACTTAAAGATGTGATTTTAACAAGTAAAAAAAAACGAACTGGATTTCAGTGTTAATCGGGAAAGTTATGCCACTAGAATTTTATTTTACTCACAATCCTAACGAAGTTTCTTCTCAAACCAACGAACGAAAAAAAAGTGCGTTTATATAAAACTGTCTTAAAGAACTGGAAAAAAAATTGTTGAAATGTTTTAATCTAGCATTATCCTCCGGATGCCACATTCCATGCAAAACTTGGCCGTATCGATCATGAACCGCGAGCCACACTCGTGGCAGAATTTGGACATTTGCAAGGAGGCGGCATTTTTCGCTCCTGCCAGCGCCGCCGGGGTCACCTTGTGGGCGTGCAGTTCCACCTTTTGCGTTTTCAGTGTGGCCGTTATCGGGGGCAGGGAGGATTCGGATCCGCTCGAATTATCGAACGTATCCTGTTGACTAGTGGCGTTGGTGGACTTGCTGCCACCACGGTGATGTCCGTACGCTCGGCGGATTGTGTGATGCTGCTCCGGAGGTGACTGACGGGACAAGCTGCTGAACGATAGTTATAGAGTGACGGGGGTTAGTGCGGGGGTGATGTAGCTGATGGAATTAGGGCATTATTGGAGTGGAATGTTTTCGGATTACGTGAGATCGTGTAGTTATGTCCTTGTTTTTTAGTTGAGGCGAAGGCAGGAATCTTATTCTCTACTGCATTTTTTTTTCTCTAGCGGTTATTCATGAATCGGATGCTGGAACGGTCTGGGGTTCGGTTCCGTAGAACTTCGTCATTTTGTATTTCTAAATTTGGACATTTGGAACTTGTATAACTAATATCCCTGCACGTGCCTTATGCTATTGCACATCTGTTTAAGGATACCAAATAAACAAATTCGAAATAATTGCCGTTGAAAAAAGCAGGGGGTCTGCGGTATCTATTATATAAAGTGTTGTTAACTTTTCATGGACTACGATTCGTAGACAGGATCGAAATTAGTTTCCAGTTTTACAATGTATTTCAACCATTGCATTAAAAATAAAAAAGTTGAAGTTACGTTTAAAAAGTCCAAATGGCCAGGAAAAGCCAAATGGGCTTTAGAACGCCAAATTGGTCTTAAAACAAAGAACATCCCACATAAACAATAACAATAAGAAGCGCGTTACCACCAATTCTGGATATCATCCCAAATTTATGTGGTATGGTCGCAACATCTATGATATCGTTAGTGTATGGTACCCGTTTATTAGGGATCGCTTTAAATGGTCTTAGTAAGGCCTAATAGGGTATAACAAGGCTGAATTTGAGTTAAATTGGAGCATTCTCTGCTTGACCGTCACTACTCCGTCGCACTACTTTTTCGCAGTGTTTGATGAAGCATCGCCCGACCCCACCGCTTGTTGACGCGCTTGCTATTTCCAGCCGGGAAATGATCCCGATCGGGCACCGCCAATGCGCACGGGAAAAAATCCGTTCCGAAATTCGTGAACCTCCAGTCACAATTTTCGGCACAAGTAAATTTTTCGTTTACGAAAGTACACCATGAATAAAAATAATGAAATCGTGAACATTGTTCCACAAAATAAACGCAACGCCTGCAAAGGCAACAAAAGTCATAGAATCGTGAACTCTGTTCGGAAATTCATGATCTAGTTCTGGCAAACGTGATTTATATTCATGCGTTGTGATTGATACCGTGAACCTTGTTCTCGAAAACGGGAACATGGTTCATGGACTGTAAAATGTCAACTTCATTATAATTACCAATATTTTAAATGGAGTGAGGAAGTGGAATGAAAACAACGGAAGCCTTGATGCAGGTTTTACCCGCATCCCAAACTGGCAGCAGGTATCTGTCCAGCAGATGGAATGAACACACTTTCAGCCGAGTTTTCAGCTCAAAAAATCAACACCACCTTCGACTTTTATCGGAGCGGTGGGAGAAAGAACACCGGATGCTTTCGGGGATTCTTTTTCTTCGAGGACGGCCAGTATGATGACATGTACCAGCCACTGCCATTGTGCCGGACCACCATTTTGATGATACTCACTAATAATCGAGACACTATTCTCGACGGATCCGAGCACTCTATAAGGATAAAATCAACAACAACTGAAAATGACAGCTGCATGTGATCCAAGTTCACCATTTCAGGAACGAAAATCACACTTATGGGTTCATGGATCACGAAATCATGATTTTATTTTGTGTTTTCTGTAGCGTTATGAATCGATGGTCGCGCTGAACAGCCGAAACTTAAGTTCATGGATTTGGGATTTATTTCATGAATTTTTTTTTTACTCGATCGCGTTTACGGGAACTAAGTCATGAATTCAAACAAAGTAGCAGTTCATGCTTTCGTGATTTGTTGTTCTCGAATACCGGAACGGTTTTTTTGCGTGCACAATTGGCATCGAGCTGTTGGCCAACAATCGTTACGGAATCCTAGAAAACGGCGATGAACCGAAGGTGGAAAAGAAGGAGAAAGTTCCACCGTTCTTCGGTAAAGGATTCCCGGAAGGCTTGCAGGAGAAACACGACTTTTACATTGGTAAAGGTCTCAAGTGCACCATGCGCATGAGTACTGAAGGCAATGAACCACTACAAGGCCGACGAAGCGTTATGCTGAAACAGAAAAACTTAGAGTATTTCTCCCACAATATTGAGGCGACCAAGCCGCTCAAGGTGGTCCTGCGCGGCCTTCCCGACATGGAAACAGTAACACCATGAAGGTAACCCTAAGACTAGAAGGTCCCGAATAAACATGCTCAACTTTTTGGCTCAGCTCTGGTACTATCTTCGGTCCCAAGCTAATCGATGCACCCCTCGAAACAAAGGATAATCCACGAACCCCTCTTTTTATCTGTCAACATTTCATAGCGAATCAAAACAAACATAATGTAGTACTAGAATGGGGTACGTTAATCAATTTGCTTGGGACCAATAGGCTAGTCAAGTAGTGATCCAATTTAAAATCGTTAGTTTCCACCAGTTGGTAACACTGTCGGATGAATTGAAGCAACATGGACTCAAGCCGATCCAAATCTTCAAGATAAATCATGACGCTTCACGTAAGTACCGTGACCAGCTGTATCTGGTCCACCTGGAAAGGAATTCAACATGCTGGAAGGACCTCCAGAGTATTCGGGCCCTTTTCCACATCGTGGTGATTTGGGAGCAGTACAAGCAACAATCAATACGAAACTATCGATTTTAAATTGGCTCACTAGCCTATTAGTCCCAAGCAAATCGATTAACAAACCCCATTCTAGTCAAAATTCTAGTACTACACAATGTTTGTTTTGATTTGCTATGAAAATTTGACAGATAAAATGAGGGGTTAGTGGATTTTCCTATGTTTCGAGGGGTGAATCGATTAGCTTGGGACCGAAGATAGTACCAGAGCTGAGCCAAAAAGTTGAGCACGTTTCTTCGGGACCTACTAGACTTCGAATTACCTCTATGGTACAAGCATAGAGGTAACTCTAAGACTAGAAGGTCCCGAAATAACGTGCTTAACTTTTTGGCTCAGCTCTGGTACTCTCTTCGGTCCCAAGCTAATCGATTCTCCCCTCGAAACATAGGAAAAACCAATAACCCCTCATTTTACTTGTCAAACTTTCATAGCGAATCAAAACAAACAATGCGTAGTACTAGAATTTCGACTAGAATAGGGTACGTTAATCGTTTGCTTGGGACCAATAGGCTAGTCAAGTAATGAGCCAATTTAAAATCGTTAGTTTCGTATTGATTGTTGGTACAAGCCAGTCCACCGTGATATCACCCAATGCGTGAACTGCATGCTATTCGGACATGGAACGAGAAACTGCCACATGGCCTACCGCTGCAACAATTGCGGCAAGCAGCACGCACCTGATGCTTGCGAGCTAATGGAGGACGCAGATCCCAAATGTGCCAATTGTGGTGCAGCACATCGGGCAACAAGCAAGACATGCCCGAAGCGAGCGGAATTCATTGCTATTCACAATAAAGCCTATAAAGAATCATCGATTCAGAACGCAGACACTCGGCTTACAACGGCGGAACTTGTTACACTAGACTAGAAGGTCCCGAAATACCGTGCTCAACTTTTTGGCTCAGCTCTGGTACTCTCTTCGGTCCCAAGCTAATCGATTCACCCCTCGAAAATCCACTAACCCCTCATTTTATCTGTCAAACTTTCATAGCGAATCAAAACAAACATTGTGTAGTAGTAGAATTCCGACTAGAATGGGGTACGTTAATCGTTTGCTTGGGACCAATAGGCTAGTCAAGTAGTGAGCCAATTTAAAATCGTTAGTTTCGTATTGATTGTTGGTATCCCTCATCAATAAGTATGGACCGTGAAGCCATCAAAATTGCCAATTGGAACGTTTGCTCGCTCAGGAGCAAGAACATTGAGTTCGTTGAATTACTCAACGAACGAAACATCGATATCGCCATCATCACCGAAACGCACCTGAAGCCCGAGATTAACGTCTTCCTTCCCGCTTCCTTCGGCTTGTGAGGCTAGATCGAACCAGCTCCGGGGGAGGAGGAGTGGCCATCGCTCTAAGGAAGAACATCAACTGTCAACTGCTGCTGAGCTTCCAGCTGAAGATTATCGAAGCTTGTCGGCCCCATCACCATTGTTGCGGCATACTGTCCCAAACAAGTCAACATCAGATATGGGTCGGCAGCAGACCTGCGAAGAGATATTGTCAAGTTAACACGACGGCGGGAAAAGTTGATCACCGCTGGTGACCTGGTGACGCCAAATATAAATCTTCATACCACTGCGTCCTAGCAAGAAGTACGGTCGACTTGTTTCGTGCTCCGTTGTTTTGGAAGTTTTCTCGGTATTCGCTTGATATAAATTATCAGTTTTTTCTCACTAAGTGACTCCTGGCATAGTTCCCGGTAAATTGATCGAAAAGTGAGTTTTTTTTAAAGTAGAAAGTGTCATTTTCGGAACGATTAATCCGTGCTATTGGTAATTCACAAACCAATTTGGGCATCATCGTTGCGTGGTCACGCATACGCGCTCACGCATACCCGCTTACGTATCATCATCATCGAGTGTGAGCACCCGTTTCTACATCTACATCGTTCATCAATCATCGTGCGCCTGTGTGCGCTGAGTACCGAGCCTCGATCAAGTGCACCACAACGAAGGTCATCCACGCAGCGCGTCTCTTCCAGCCATCTGTGTAAACGCCTACACATATAACGCTCGGTGGTAGTAGTATAGGATTATCAGATAAGTTTTTGTTTTTTTCTTGTTTCTTTTCCTCCCCCATTAGTTAAATTTTCATTTTGTATTTCTGTGTTTGTAGTGTTTTCTGTGTATTGTGTCTGTGCGTTCAGTGGGAGAGCGTTTTGCGCTCCCACTAGTTGAACAAAATGGATGTTTTGTCAGAAGACGACATGGATGACAATTCATCTAAGAAAAATGATGATGTCATCCCTGGTTCGTCGTCTCAGTCTGTCAATGGGCAGGCTGAGAAAAACTCCAGATTGCGGGCCTACCCGAATGACTCGACTGGCCCATGGGTTGTCTATTTTCAGCCCAAAAAC